AGAAATCGTTGCACATGGAGAGCAAGCAATATTTCGTTGCACGGTGCAGGGGGCCTGATTTGCTGGCAATTCTAGAGCCTCTGGAGACACACTGGGTCGGCAGCCCCGGCCAAGTTTAATTAGCGTCACTGCTGCTCGGTTCCTGCGGGAAAGATTCTCTCGCAAACCGAAATCTAAGATTTATCAATGCAAAGTTCCGGTGCAGATTGAGTGCGAACTCCAGGGATTTGCATTGTGTTAATTAAGCTGGATGTCGTGGTAGGCACTTGATATTCAATTTTCTATAATATTTCTTTACTGTAGGGACTACTGTACTTCTACTGTATTTCTTTTTGGGAACCACTGGTGGTTCCCAAACTTTTTCAGGCTGGCGCCCCCTTTGACTCCCTAGTGAACTTCTAGCGCCCCCCACAGACATATATAAAAACATACGCCTCTTTCTTGAAATTTAGTACGCTGCAATTTTAATAGATAAATGTTAAACACAAATGTGTATTTCACAAATAGAACCCCATTTAGTGAACCAATATGTTTTTATGCTGTTTTAACTGTTTCAGCACTAGAAACCTAGGACGTCTCGGGCAAATTCACGGCCGGACTCGTGGCCGGTCGCACGACCAATCTCCAAATTCAATTATCAAGTAATATCTCCCAAACTAATGAACGCAGCTCAAGGTAACTTGGAACATATATTCATCAGTACCTAATGTTGATTTTTAGCTCGTAAAAATTTTTAAATTTCTCCTTCATTCGTGAGTTATATTGCGATAAAGGCCGAAATTCGCAGTGATCAAAGAATTTCTTCCAAACTACTGAACAGATTTGAACGAAAATTTGAATATACATTCCTAAATACCAAGCGTTGACTTTTTCGGTTTTTAAAAGTTTTCGATTTTACCTTTGTTTGCGAGTTTTTTTTTTCATTTCACAGTCATTCTTGATTTCACATTTCATTATATTCGGCCCGTATCGCCGGATAATTTGTCGCTTACATTAGCGGCGATCAAGAAATTTCTTCTAAACTACTGAACAGATTTCAACAAAACTTTGTATATAAATACCTAACCTCTCAACGGTGATGTTTAGCTCGTGACAATTTTTCTAGTTTGCTTTCGTTCGCGAGTTATACAGATATAAGAGGAACGACCGGCTTTTCTACCAGCCGGTTTAACCAAGAGCCGTTTACGTATATCCGAATTCGTATAGCCGTACAACTCGCAAACGAAGGCAAAACGATAAAATTGTAACGAGCTAAACATCACCGTTGCTGAGGTTAGGTATTTAAATACTAAGTTTTGTTCAAATCAATTCAGTAGTTTTGGAAGGAATTTCTTGATTACTGCGAATTTAAGCAAGTATTGCTGTTTAAATCACGAATGAAGGTGAAATGAAAAAAAAACTCGCGAACAAAGGCACAATCGAATAAATTTTCATGAGCTAATTATTAACGTTTGATAGTAAGGACTGTAAAATGTAAATTCAAAATTTCGTTCGAATCTGCTCAATAGTTTGGAAAAAATTTCTTGATTACCCGGTACTGTGAATTTCGGCCCGTATTGCCATATAACTATGGCAAAAACAAATGAAGGCAAAATAAAAAAAATTCACGACCTTAACATTACCGTTAGGTCCTAATGAATACGCGTACCAAGTTTCATCGAGTCAAGTTCATTAGTTTGAGAGATATTACTCGAACATTGAATTGGAAATTGGCCGTGAGATCGGCCGAGAGTCTGGCCGTTAATTTGTCCTAGACGTAAACCCAGGAGAGGTTAAAAAACAGATCTGGGTGAAAAACCCATCGCTGGAAGTCATGTGCTGCACGTGTTGTGTACAAATCGTCAAACCAACGTTCGAACTTCTGACTACCACCCCCCTATCGCCCCCCAAACGCCCTCTTCTTCCTTACCGCCCCCCAAAATCTTTCCATCGCCCCTAGGGGGGCGATATCGCCCACTTTGGGAGCCACTGCTGTAGACTAATCTTTTCGAATTTTTTTTGCGGGATTGAATTTTTAAAACTTGTAGTGGCATTTTTTTTTTGAAAAAGCTTGTCATATGTGAATTAAGGACCAGTTTGAAATTCAATCTACCTTATTTTGTACTTTCTTAAAGTGTGGTCACTGCACAGCTTTATAATTTCTGGAATGTCAGTGCAATCACGTCTCTAATCCTCATTCCGGTCTGGAATTTCATCCTGACAGCAACGGTCGTAGATTTCCTCGGGTCGCCGTGAAATTTTCTGTTGATTTTTACCAAAACTTACTAGCCAGACTCGTATTTAATTTTAAGGTATTTACTGATAGTTTGTGAGGATGTTACTATTATATCAACTTTCATGGGATCCCATTTATATTGGGATCAATATATATGGCATTAAAGTCATAGATCGTATTAGTGTACTAACTGTTTGTATTTTTGATTATTATTTCATTATCAATAAATGATCTTTCCTCTAAACGGTGATTTTTCATCGATGACGATGAATTTGAAAGCTTCAGGATTAATTTTTTTATGTTGTGGGAAGGCCATTCACAGAGATATTGAATTTATATCAATAATTTGCTTTCCTGGCATATAGATATTATTCTACGATTCGAGTTTAATGCCAAAATTTGATTAAAATCTCTCAGAAACGGAAGAGTTTTCGTTGTAAGCCAATTTTAATACTTATAGGCAGGTTTCATTAAAGACCAGAGAATTTTTTTGACAATTTTCTTATTAGTTTTTTTAACATATCAACAACAATGAAACCTGCCTAAAAGAACAAATTCTGCCAACATATACTAGTTGAAACTCGCTAATTATTTTATTCACGTACCTCAAGCTAGGGTATAAGTAATTGATACTATATATTTATAAAATTTCAGCGGTGCCCCGCCTGTGACGTGCATTAGCTGTGCACCGCCATTAGCAAATCGTCGCTTTCCGAGAATTAGAAACACGAATTATTTTTCCGTTGTTTTTATCTTACGTCGAGCCCACGTTTGATGGAACAATTTGCACAAGGTGCCCATGTCCCTTGCATTTTTAGCAAGGAAATTATATGTTTCTTGTGTCGCAGTCACTATCGTGAAGGACCCTTCCATTGTTTGTTTCTAATTACGTTAATAACGTAGAATTTCGTTAATGTGCGTTTCTCGTTTCAAAATTACTGCGTTCGAGATAAATGAATTTCTGGACCGAGACTTTTTGTACGTTCTTCGAACTGAAATTTAATTCATTACTTACGTGCACGTTACTTGCTTGACAGCTGAAACTTACCAATTTAAGGTCAGAAGTAGAATAATGTTATAAAATATATAACAAATATTATGAATCTGATTTCTTCGGAAAAAAGCTCAGAACGAAGTTTTGAGCTTTGTGACGATGTACTGTCTTTTTTGTGACGAAGTACTATGTCTATTTCGACTTTTAACCAAAATTTAGATTTTATATTTTTTGTCTATAGCTTTGAGTTTTCCGACATTTTTTGTTAGTCATAAAATATACCTATTCAAGTTTCCCTAACAAATTCCGTTATTAACTTTCTTCCCGCAGTTGTTGCTGTAGTTCCAATGTATTCAACGTATCGTATGTATTATTAATAATATAATAATAATAATAGCGGTTTCAGCGTTTATTAGGCCGTAGGCCTGTCGCTGATTCTGAACATCGCAGAACATTCACAGCATTTTGCAGGGTAGAACTCGCAACTCACTGCTACAATTCTGCAGTGCTTAACCGCCTGGCCTCCGCGCCGATTCTGACCAGAAACTGGCGCTCAGAGCTGGGATCGAACCCGCGCCTCTCTGCGCCAATCTTGGTACTCTGAACTGTAACCACTAGGCCACCCTGCCCTTATTATTGGCTATTTCGGCATGCTATATTTTTGACTGTGTAGTGGAAGTTGTGCGTTTTCATGTGAGAAGGTTGCCGATATTCAGCACAGGTCTTACAAAACAGGCTGAAGGAATTTCACTTTGACTTGAAAAATTCAGACAAAATGTGCATTGATTGCTATGCATCATTATTAGCTAATGGTTCATATCTTTATTATATGTTTTCTTTAATTGGCTTCATAATTTCATGCCTTTGCATTTGACTTGAACTAGTCTGAATTGCGGATTGTATAAATAATGATCTTTCAATTCGTTTAGGTTTCTAATTTCATAGAGATTTATCTTAATCTGTGCTCTAATTTCCTAAATTTCATCATTGCCAAACTGAGAACAATGCGATGAGATGAACGCGATGTTGTTGCACGATTACCTTATTATTAGTTTCTCTGAACTAAGTTACGGATTGGTTTTCATTTCATCCCGGGACATGCATTATAACTTGAGAGTCTGGCCCGGCGACGCAGAAAGTCTTTGGTTGAAGATTTTCTGTAAACCGCTTTAGAAAAATTGCGTTCAGTGCATGCATTGTTGTGCGTTTTTTGCGTTTTTTTTCTCATGCAAAATTTCACTCATGCATACATAGTGATCGCTGCTGCTATTGCTCATCGTCTTATGCAAATTTTTATAACTCTTTCAAGCAGACTTTTTGAACCCGGTTCACTTTTTGCAGGAACATGTGATGCACGTAGGAAAACTGCTTGCAAATTTTGTACACGCACTTGAAATTGTGTTATGCTTCGAGTATTAAAACCCACAAGTGAGGTTTTTTATCCGTGCTTTTAAGCTCGTTTTCGTATAGATGATTGCGTTGACTGATTATGAGTTGTTTAGTGATGATGGCAGGAGTCGGAATACATTTGATAATATCAAAGATAGAAATTTCTGAAATTTCACAATATTTGGTTAGACATCAACGGCTTATTATTTCATCGTACTGGATACAAAAATCGTAATTCATGTTTCTTTCACATACAAATCTAAAAAATCTTCACAACCTTACCTCTTCACGTAAAAAACTATGAGAACACATGTGTCCCGAGGCTGCACGAAAATATAGCATTTACTTAATACTTTACAATGGCATTTCATGTCTCTAATGTATGATTTTTTCTCATTGCAGACAGCAACTTTGTGCTCGGGAACGCTCAGGTGCCGTCGTTGTACCCCATCGTGTACTGCAGCGATGGCTTCTGTGAGCTCACGGGCTACGCGCGTGCGCAGATCATGCAGAAGTGCTGCGCATGCAAGTTCCTCTTCGGGCCAGAAACTCTGGACGAGAACAAACTTGCTATCGAGCAGGCACTTGAGAACAAGACTGAACTCAAGCGTGAAGTTATGTTCTACAAGAAAAACGGTCAGTGTTTCTTGTCAAGTAGTATTGTCTAGAGTTTCTTGAAATTTTGTGTGCATGACACAATGGGTTGGTCTGTATCTCTAGGAGAAGGGGTAAAATTTTTTTAGAATATATATTTTTACTATAATTTTTAAGTGGACTCTGAGCTAATCTGTTCTATTGATGAATTTTCTCTTCTCCAAAATATATTCATTAAAATGTAGCGGAATCGAAGTTGTCTTCATCAAAAGTTGAATTGTTCTGCGATACCTAAGAGTTGAATCTTATTTCCGATCGTTTATTCTTATTGTTAATTGCAAGAAGTTTGACGACGAAACTTGATGCTTGGAATTCAGCAAAAAAATACGAAATGTCAGAGAAAAACTAAAACCGCAGAAGTTAATAGTTGCCAAAACCTGGCGTCTTTCCGTAGCTAGCTCGATCGGCTCTCGCTCATATCGAAGACTTCTTTACGTTGTGTAGGCATAATTTAAAAAGCCATATCATAATGCAGTTTGGGCTTCTTTCAAAACTCGACAGTTAAGCCAGCAAAGTTATGATACATTTCACCATCCAATTCTTTATTAAATTACCATAAATTTTGCAATTTTTAGACTTGATTTTTTGTCCGTTTTTTAGGTAAAATCATTCCTACCTATTTTTGCATGGAAGTAATTTTTTTACCATTATTAATTTTGATCAGATGCTGGGGTAGAATGTTTATTATAACTGATGTGATTTGCGTTGTAAAGTTAAATTAGTTTTCGCTTATGTTATTTGAGTCTTACTAGAGTTTACTCAATTTTTTTATTGCGAAAATTGTATTTATTCATGATTATGTACGATTGGCAAGATTTCCTCGTTATTGAGTCGCGTACAGTAACAAAGAATGTTGTTATTCATTGCTCTTCAGATTGATGCTCTATCGTAATGTTTTTCCACGGAGGGATCATATCTCAATGAACAGTGCCTAGAAAAACAGGAGACATAAAGCTATTTTGTTTAGGAATTTTTGCTAGTATGAGTGGGATCCAGTGCGTCTTCTCTGCCATCATTACCTCGACGTATCCGATGTCTAAACTTTTCTAAAGCGATGTCTGGACGCAAAAGATGTTCGCTTCACGGAAGCTCGAAAATAGTCTCAGATTTTATGATCGCTCTTTGGAAGACGAAACGCTGTTTATGTCTTGATGGAAAAAGAGAAGGCAAGTAGAGGAAAAAGTGGATGAGAAATGCAAGAGATAAAGTGGAAGGGTTGTAGAATCTGATCCCGTAGATTAATTAATATGAGAAATTTGCTGAAAAAATTCTACCTGAATGCAGAAGACTCTTGGAAGGTGATGGAATTTAACTTTTTAAACTACTGAATATATTCGTCTAAAATGTACATGACAGCCGAAAAGTAAATAATTTTTGATGCCACGTGGCTTTTTGCTTCTAGCTTCAATAATGCCACTGCGATTTATTGTCAATGTGTATTTGTTCTAAATTCTTTTAATTTTTTCCCGCCTTTACCAATTCGATTTTTTCCTTCTAAATTGCGATAAAACAACAAAATAAACTCGAGATAATTGTATTATTTTCGTCGGGTCGCCTCCGGAAATCCAATATAGGCTTTCTCATTTAAATATGTACGCGTTCGCCATGTAGCTCTCTGGATAACAATTTAGGGATTCAACGTAATTTATTTACCAAATTGCATTATTTACCATGGCTTTAGGTCTCCGTAGACTCCTTTTCCGATATATTTTATATTGTCGGATGATAGAGGGGTTAGAAATGATTTATTTGATGCTCTATTTTATTCTATTTCAGTATTGGGATCAACGCCAATTATAGGAACTATGCCAACTTTTTCAATGACGTTGTATGCGCGACGTACGTTGGTGTGGCTGTAGTCTCATACGATTGCGGCACAGGAAAAAAGCACGACAGATCTCGTCGTGCTTTATTAGTACAGGTAAAAACGATTTAGTGAGGTGTATCTATTCATGTATAAAATTTTTAATAAAGTAAACGCAACATGGAAATCCAAAGTGAATGACAAGCTCTACTCGATTGATTGTAAATCTGATCAAGTTCTGAAGCCCAGAAATTATTTATTTAGTTATAAATTAATGTTTACGTCACTTCAATGTTTACGATATCCAGTTTTATGACTACATATATACTCGTACCTGCAACCAAATTCACCAACGCAAACGTTTGAAAGATTATTTCAAAATTAAAGAACGTTGGAGGCACTTGGTTAGCTTCATCAAGATCACATTTGAAAGCTGCCGGTGTCGAATGGTCTCATGGATTGAATTTTCTTCTAAATGAAAATGTTATTAACACAAAAAGAATAAAATTCACGAAAAATAAAAAAAAAACTGATATAAATTTCTTGGGGTTTTAATTTGAATTCATACCAACATGCAACATGCCATAGGAGACGGAAAAGAGCAATTCTGCCGTCATCTTGGATGGCAGCGACTTTGATAAAAAATTTTTGGCTTCTGCCGCGCGATCTCTTTTGCTTGCTAACGGCCTCGGGAACATCGCCTCTAACGCAAGAGCTTCCTAGCGAATATCTTGCATCCGGCGCCTTCACGTTGCTTCGTCCCATTAGAACAATCAACTTGTGCAATTTTACCCGCCTTGTCATTTTTTCTTATGGTAAAAAGTGGTGAATTTGTATCACTGCTCGAAGTTATTACTAGCATTTCACTGTTATTCATTTTGGGAAATGAGAAAATATTTTTTTATGCACCTTGATGAATATCTTCTCAAAAACTTTAGGTTTTTTAATGTTGCATTGCATCTATGCCTAGCAAATATTTTTAGGACGAGTGCGTTGTTAACAATTTTATGGATGAATGATTCATATGGCGTGGAAGCACTTATTATATACTCCTATTGAATATGGCCGATTCAGCTAATGTAATACGGCGTGAATCATCAACTCGCCGAAAGCATCGATATTGAATTTCCACAGATTATACATTAACCTTATTTTGTTTGACTTTTATTGCGTTGAATTGCATTCCAAATATTGCCATTGTTAACGTTATAAATCTGGTCTTATTTTATTTTTTTTCACGCTATAAATCTAGAGTGTCTCTATTCCCCAATAGGATCTTTGAAACTCACTGAAATGGAACAATCTCCGCTTGATCCAGCCATTCGATGGTTTTCTGGATATACGAAACATCTGTTGTATAACATATCTGTTTCTCGGTAACATTTCTGAAAACTTCGTCACAACAATAGCCGCTGGCATTTCTAGGGATGTATCGTGCGACTTCACCTTCCATTTATCGGGACACGATAGCGCACTTTCTGGCAATAGTTCTCTTTAGGTTTACGCTTTCCAGAGCCTCGGTCCCTCTCCTTGCGACGTTATTTTAGAGAGTGACAGGCGTAGAGTGGGCGTTTGTGAGCTGCCTCTTCTTGCGACGTTATTTTAGAGAGTGACAGGCGTAGAGTCCATGGGCGTTTGTGTGCAGCCTCTTCTTGCGACGTTATTTTAGAGAGTGACAGGCGTAGAGTGGGCGTTTGTGTGCAGCCTTTTCTTGTGACCTTATTTTAGAGAGTGACAGGCGTAGAGTGGGCGTTTGTGTGCAGCCTTTTCTTGCGACCTTATTTTAGAGAGTGACAGGCATAGAGTGGGCGTTTCTGAGCCTGATCAGTGGGAAAGATTTAGCCTTGCCAGGACGTCATCTGATCTTCATAAAGCGAAGAACCTGAACTCTATTTAAAGATCCTCTTTGCGTTGCCATCTGTTGCTCGGCTTTCATTCCCCGGTAAATATTGTCAGATATTGTTGAAGGAACTCTATAGCTGGAGGAACATGAATTCCTCCAGTTATTGATTCCTTTATGATTTTATTTACACGCTAATTACGTTTTCTAACTTTAGTGTCGCGAAATGTGTGAGTTATAGTAATTTTACAATTAGGAATGAATAGTCTGAAGATCGCTTAACTCTTGAAGATCGCTTAACTTGGTTGAGAAAGGATCTTTTGCTGGCTTGTTGCTGGGGCGGATTTTCGTGAACGTTCCAGATGTCGTGTACCGACCAGACTATCAGTTTCGTTGAGTATCGCAGGCGTCAGACATATGTACGATTATCGTGTATGTACGATTATCGTGTATGTACGATTATCGTGTATGTACAATTATCGTGTATGTACGATTATCGTGTATGCACGCTTATCGTGTATGTACGATTATCGTAAAACGTACTGTCACCGAAAGCTTCAAGTTTCCGTGTTCCGATATTTTCCACACGCGCAGGATAATATCAAATATGAATCATGGAAGGCGGCGGCGGAAGTATGGCCATCTCTCCCACCGAGGCCATGAAGAAAACGTTATTCTCTTCTCGAGAACAACTTTTTAGTTTATAACTATGAGGGCCAAGTCTTGACGAAAGCTCTGCCGATGTATGCGGCAGAGTATGTATTTTTTATAATTACTAGCTAGGTAATAGATGTACGAAAAACGTTCATTAACGATGTGTACGATTGATTTTAGATAGTCGAATTGGGTCAATATCATTTGGTGTTCTGGTATGTTGACGAGTACTTTATAATTTTACATAATAATCTGTGAGAAAATAATTTTAGCACACGCGAAAATACTAACTATAAATAAAATGTATAAAAAAAAATTTTTAAAGACCACGTTTTTCATGTGGACTCAAAAGTAGAAAATATTTTTTCGGCAGCTACTGATCTCTGTTTATCATTTTTAGTCCGTTGCTACACACGAAACACGTTGTTGCCAGCCAATTTACTTGACTTGATGTACGTATCGATGATACGAAGCGTATCATCGATATACGCAGTCTAAACACGAATATCCTCTCGAGGATGACGTGCATTAAAGGTTCCAACCCCTGCTTGTGAGTTTCTCTAGAGTTTATACGCCTGGAAACGTGCAACAAATTATTGATTATTGTATTGTTATCGGGAGCTGAGCTTCCCTAAAAGTTTCAGAGCGCTAGCTAATGGGAAAGTTGGTGAAATATCGATTGCAAGATTTGATCATCACAGACACGAAAGCGAGCTAAGAAAAACGTGGTAAAAATCACGTGACACAACACGTATATTCGCGGTGGATAAATTTCAACTGTTTACTTAATTATGTCTTCCTTGCAGATGAGACTACTTGAAATTAAAACGCTACCAATGGAATGACACATATCGTAAGCGTTGCATCGTATTTTGTCGTTTACTAATGCAGATGAAATCAGGGTTGCAAAAACCCAGGTTTTTTTTCAAATTGCCCAACCCTCATGGTATTAATTAAAAAACCCTGGCAAATTAATGGGTAATATGGCTTATATTACTTTTTTCACTTTTATCATTCATACTCATCTTCAAAGTTTTTATAATTTATGTTGATTATTAAAAATTTCATACTATAAATAGAGTATCAACTTCTGTTGTTACATTTGCGATAACTTTAATTAAATCCAATAATTGCCAATTTTTTTAATAGGGAGTTGAAGGAACTTGATGTATCACTATTAATAAAACAGTGACACATCTCTGTCAGAGACTACAGATTGTTGGAAAAAAATATGTATTGAAACAGTTAACCCAATTCTTGCATATTTTCTTGTTTCTCAAACTCAAATAGTGCAAGCTTGTAAAAACAATTTTCAGTTTCTTCCTCATAATTATTGAATAATTAGACTAATCACTTTGGAATTTGTACTAATCCTTTAGGCTTCAACTACTGTAAGTGCTCAAAAATTGACAGGATTGTATTGCTAGTTGCTTTTTAGCTGGGATGCAGAATAAAAAACTCACATGTTCATAAAAACCTAGTATTCTAGTAAAATAACCTCTTTAAAAAAATTCTCTCTCATCATGTCTTGAAATTACATACCTGGGGGGTTTGATCTTCTTTTTTCATTACCAGCCTTTCTTTTGTCAAGTCTTTTAAGATTTGAATCTTGAGTAGCCAAAATATTAAGTGTTTTTATGACAAAACATAAAAAAGTCAATATTTTGCTCCAACTTCATTCCACAGTCTTAACTGTAGTTTTTTATTGATGACAAATTTTTATTGCAACGTAATTAATGGACTTTTTAGTAAAAAGCATAGCAAATGACTACGGTATCTAAATATTACATTGCGAAACTAAAATATGCAAATTAAATTAACACCTAAGTTCAAATTTATATTAAACCTACAGTTTAGATAAAGCTGACATCAAATTGTTACATAAATCCCCTGTGAAATTTATTTCTCTATCAATGGTGTGACATAAATTGCTAAATAAGCGGCTAGAAATTAGACACAATTGCAATATTCGCAGAATGGATTTGATGAATCTCTAGATATGGTCTTTACGCATCGAATGATATGTAACTCGCATCGAATGTGTAGATTTCTACAGTACCCCCCTTTTTGCCGTTTTCTATTAAATTCGCGTTTTCTTTCATTTTTTTAGAAAAATTTGCACGAACAAAAAAGTCCTAGATTTCTGTTTTACACCTGTGTACCAAGTTTTAAAGTGATCCGTCCGTAAATAAAAAAATTTTTCCATACCATCCAGATAGATGTATTTTTGATAACTTCTATCCAGTATTATTGCATCATGAAATTCAAACATGGGATAATTTTGATGAATTCTTAATTTTTTAAAACTTTCTTTTTACTCCGGATTTTTAAAAAACCCGGGTTTTTTACGTTAAAAAAACCAGCCCGGGTGGGTAGGTGGGCAGCTACCCGGGCAACCCTGCCTGGAACATTCTTTAACCTCCTCATGCTGACACTATATTACCTGGCCAGATACGTGAAGTGACTCAAATTTTAAAATATTTTTCATGGGTGGAGTCATGTGTACATTTAAAGCTGATCATTAAGAAACGATTCATTGTGACTCATTCCTGGAAAATTTGATCCAATTGACAGTGACATTCCAGCCTGCGGCGTCTCTCCACTTTTGATCTTTCGTTGCAATTGAAGTCATTTATGCAGTTGCAATGTAGAGCTATCAGCGCCCTCATCGATATCACTGCAAATTTCGGGAAATGAGCTTCAATTGTTAACGATGGCTTCTAATCGAATCGTTTGAAGGAACAAACCAAAAAAGCAATCGGGGGAATGTGCAGTGTTCAATCAATCGCCTGTGATTGCAATGAGAATTCAATTTGAACGATCTTCTCATACCAGCTGCACCTGCATATCTAGCTGAACAAAATTTCACTTGAGTATATTTTCTTGCTATCAAAAGTGTAACTGTAAATTCGATACAAAATTTCATATTTCAGGGGCTTATAGACGTGGTCAAGCTTGAACATCCCGTATTTCATAATAAAATGTAAAGAAAATATCGTTACAGTTTCTGATGATTTTTTATTTATAGCCAGAGATAGCACAGATTAGAAGAGCCTGCTTGGACATTCCTCCAACTCATTGTATAATAAAGTAAGATCATTGTATTATTTTTATGAGTAATTATTTTCTGCAGATCATTTACTTGTTATTCTTTGTGCTTGTGGAGTTTGGTTCAAATCTGCTTGCATGTTTTCATCCGATGACCGTCTCGATCATCCTCCTGATGGCAACGATTTGCGGTGCGTTGTTTGTGGCTGAAATTCGACAAAAACGAGCTTTAAATCAAGCGTTTTAATCTTTTTTTGCAATTTTTTGCGTAGCGCGTTCAGTTTAGTTTGTTATTGAATTGAAACTATAATCCACGATTTTTTATTTCTCAATATAAATAATCTAAATTTTATATTTGAGTAGCGAGTACCATATTACGTCAAAATTAACGACATAATTTATCACTTTATACCCGCCGGGACGACAGTAAATGAACACATTAGCGGCACATTGATCACATCAAATATTAATGTTTCGTGTACCTTCACCATCTCAGATGTTGTTCGGTATCACAATGAACACATCACGCTATATGTACTCACAATAACCAATTCCAGTGTAGCCCCACCAGTCCCAGCAGCCGTTGGGGTTGCTGAGGATGGTGCTGATAGCTTGTGGGAAGATCACGATGATGTTGTTGAGCTCTGCCACTTGCAGGTACTCTGTGTTCTTAGCGAACGTGTCGCCCATCGCTTCTCTGTGACACAGGGTTGTGTTCTCTTCACATATTGGTTAAGACGGCGAATTTTACAACCAAACTTATTAGGTGTGATCGTTTACAAACTACCTAATCATAATTACTATGCAGATATAAATTTCTTGTTATAAATTGTTATTGAAAGGATTTGGTGCAAAGAATTTAAATTTTGGTCAGCTGGGACTCATTTGCCTGGTCAATTGCACTTGTACATGACTGCGGATCTTATTAAATCACTTGCACGATTACATTATGACGTTAAGAGACTAAAATTATAGATAACTCATAATAAATGCTTATAGAATAAGAATGTATTTGCTAATTTAGAGGATAAGAAGGTGGTAAGAATATTTGTGTACCTGCCCTGAAGGCAGCCGTGCAGAGCTACGTGTAGCTTGCACGTGACCGTGCCGTCCTCACACGCGGACGGGATGTACACGTAGCCCACGTTGTCCATGCTCGACTGCGACGGCAGGCCAAGCGTGAAGAAGTCGCCTTGGTCGAACTCGGCGAAGGTTCCGAGCAGCGCCTCCGACCCTGACGCATTAGTCCAGTGTTATAATTTACTAGCTGATGCCAGAAAAAGTTATTCTTCATGTTGATATGTAGATTGAAATTTTTCGAGTTGTATACGATCAACTTTTTACCCGGCATTCCGTGAAAAAAAGGTTCATTTTGAAAACATACTGAACAAAAAATTAAAATTTTTTCACTCATGTCTGAAACTTTTTAGGCGGCATTCCGTGAAAAAAAGTTTTCACTTTGAAAACATACTGTAGAAAAAACTAAAATACGTTCATTCATGTCACAAACTTTTTACGCGGCATTCCGTGAAAAAATGATTCGTTTTGAAAACACACTGAACAAAAACTAAAATACGTTCATTCATGTCACAAGCTTTTTACGCGGCATTCCATGAAAAAGGGGTTAATTTTGAAAACATACTGAACAAAAAGCTGAAAAACGATCATTCATGTCTCAGCTCCGTTAAGAAAAAGTAAATTATTTGGTCGCTTAATGCCCAAGGATTGGTAGCCAGACACTTCAAGTTAATGCTCCGGAGTTTACTGAAAATTTGCAGCCATTAATTTGCAGCTTAGAACCGGTAATATTACGAGAAGAAATTTTCAAGACTATGACTTGCACATCATTAAAGAATTGTTGTTGTTATAAGATTGTTTTGTAAGCTACAGATCAACCTACCTCGACTGCTCTGATAACAATCCTATACTAGTTCTGATGGAACTGTTTCAGAGAACTCTTTGGTCTGCAAGGTACTTCTATTGACATCTGAAACAAATTGAATTTAAAATTTCTTGCTCATAAATTCCAGTTTCCATTTCATATTATAATGAAAACTTTTTCTGACGAAAAAGTATTCTCGACAAAGTCAATATTCGCAGCAGCGTAGCCAGGAGTGAAATATTCATAAAAATTGACACTCGTTTCACGACTGTTGGTCTCAAATCGCGCAAATTTTTTGGTCCCCTTTATTTGAGCAGTTACAGGCCATCCCTTGTGAATGCAGTCAGTTCAGCTATCGAGTTCTCTCAACTTTTGCGCGCCACTCTGTACAAATGAAGCTCTCTCGGGATAGTGAATGTTTGGCTATTTTGATTTGTTTTGAATTGGATGAAAATTGATCCGTGATGAATTTTTGCTGACAATTTTGCAACTGATGGAGATATTGAAAAGCTACTCAAAAGTTCAGATTTATTGGGCATCTGCAAGAAAAATTATGGAAAAATAATTTTTTAAATGGAATGCACGCAGTCGATTTTCTCGTACACCTAATCGAAGTATCGCTCATCGTGTTTGTTCATTTGCTGGTGTAGAAAATAGCCAGAAATTCGCCATTTCTATATGTGAGAAAACGTTTCTGAGTCCACGTCTATCATCACTTCGATATCCGAAAACGCATGTACGAGTAGAATAAATTATTGAACTAAAACTGATTGACAATTATTCTGTTTTAGGATCTTGAAAACTGACTGTGGGGCTGGACTCCGAAAAGTTTTTTCACTGAAAGAAATAGTAAATTTTATGGAATATTTTCTTTGTTTTTAAATTCTTAATCAATTTACGACTTAAAATCAAGTCGTCTTTATATTTGCTAGTGCATTCTAGATTCTTTTTTATGATTTTCACTTTCTTCAACTAAATCTGCGTTTATTTTGGAAATTATTTTTGTAAATGAGAAACATTCATGCAATTTGAGTGCAACAATGCCTATTCCCGAACTTGATGGATGCGAAAATTTGTGAAGTGACAATTAACGATCTTGAATGGTTTGCAGCGGAGACTTTGTAGGCGTCGGTGTATTTAAGTTTAAAAGGCATGGATTTGTGAAGGATGAATATAACGTCCAGGCACTTGATATGTTAATGGAGAACGCAAAGTTATTGTTTCTGGATAATCTTGGAAACTTTCGGTTATATGTGCCTAATGTCTACGTTTATACTGTCTTGCTGATTTTTTTCAAACTTTTATTCGCATATAAATGTTTGTGCATTCGGTGTGAGAATGTATGGATGATGATCTTTGACATGTGGATTCGAATTTCAAAACATATATAGAGAGGCGGCCTCTGACCATCAGACTGCGGGTTTGAAACAAGTTACGTACGTGGATTCAGGCAATAGGGCTTCAGGTTGTTCAGGAGTGACAGGATGCGATAAAGACTCTGTTCCCACCATGCAATAGAGCCGGGTCAGTCATATGCCAGCCTCGGTCCAGTCCAATATCGTTTCATGCATTTCCTAGAAGCATTCACACCATAGTCATGGCAGGTGCCTTGCACGACTGGTGTGAATATTTCTATGTAAATGCAATAAAGAATATTGGACTGGACCGAGGCTGGCATATTCCTAGCACGTGTTCGGCTGTGTGGTATTAACCCGAACTATAATTGGATTCTTGACCGCCGTCTCGGCTGAGATACATCGATACCACGGCTCTTCGTCCCGAATTGAACTCCTTTCAATCGCCAACGGAACGGCCTCGGTTTGGTCAAAACTGGGGATAGTTTTCAAGTTCTACATTCGTTCTGACAAAAAGTAGAACTTGATTTGAGAAGCTAATATTACCTTATTTTTCCCTCAAATAAACATTAGCTACGAATGTATGCGGGAGCATTATTATGAATCTGCCTAAAATGGTGAGAAACATGAAGCAAATCCGAAAATTAGATGCTCTGTAAATCTTACCAGTAGGCCGCTGAATGTCGCCGTAGAGCGCATTCAAGGCTTCGTAGGCGCCATTGTACACGCAGTTGTTGATATAGTCGCCACCCAGATACGAGCAGGCCGGGCCGTGGTTGTCAGTTGGCTGAAACTCACTTCATATTAGTGAACAATCTAACAAAGTCGTCGTAATTTTGTCGGTCTTATCGTAGTTGCCAATTTGCTATTATTAGGTCCATTAATTTAAATGAACGTATTTCTTCAAGTCAATATCTGTTTTGTCTGTAGGCTTAATAAATTTCGGGCTCGCATTCAAATAACATGTTGAATAAGCAACCAGTCCTATATTTAACGTGTAAATAAACTGATGAAATTTTAAAATGTATTTAGAACATCATGTTACCTCTAATTTTGTTTAATTTCTTGGCACTTGATAATAATCGTCGCAAGTTCAATTTTATTTCATGGTAACTATGATTAAAACTAACATTTATAATCATCATTCATAGATCAGTTTCATATCACAAATCTGACTCCCCAAACTGATTTTGGGAAAATAGTTCAGGTTTCTATGTTAGCAAACCTTATTTCTGAACCATACTTTAACCGCGGAATTAGTTGAGGTAGTATTTAGTAGTAGTAATAATATTTATTATAAAATATAAATGATTACTCGAATCTTTTGAACACGAATTTGACGAGTCGAAAATATCAACTAAATTAGACATCTAATTTTTGATTTGTAGAAATTAAATATATAAAATCTTATAAAATAAATAAAAATTTTATTTTTTTTCTGCAGCCGATTGTAATCATATAATTTGGAGTGAAATGATTTGGTTCCGTCATTAAAACGAGGAAATATTTCCGTATGAAGTTATTTGCTAACCTCTATACCTAATTAGATATTTTCCCCTTTCTTTTAAATTTCATAACATTTTTACATTACTATTTCTAGGGAATCGAAAAAAATATTACTCAGTACTCACTGCAGTGAGTGACAGAGAGCGCATTTTCTCGTCGACGAAAACTTGAGGTCACGGACAGACGGACGGACAGACGGACAGATAGACAGACAGACAGACGGACAGACGGACATGGCGAGCACAATAGTGCATTTTTTCCATTAATGAGAAAATGCGCTAAAAAGTAAATATTCATTTCACAGTTATCATGGTATAGTCCTAGCCGGGAGTTTGATTGCGACCAGGTCACGACGAGAGCACCTTTAGGTATACACATACAGTGGGTGCGAAAAGTATCCGACACGAAGTAAAAACATTCTTATTTTGAAACTTAACTTTTACAAAATTGCAATTATCAAGTCAACAAATAATGATATTGTTGTTTTGATATGATATATGTATTTCCCATTTAAATTTACCTTAAAATAGTGTTTGCTTATGTTATTTTGTTGGATAAGCTCTAATTAAATAAAGTTTTTCCTTTGTGTCGGATACTTCTTACACCCACTGTATATGTATATCAATGGGGACGTATAAATACTTTCTGGGTGCAATCTAATTTACAAAGCGATATGAGTTGTTTCAAATGGTCAACCTTATTTATCACAGCAATTCTTCACTTATTTGATAGGCAAATATGAGTGAGATTTAATTGTAACTGTGAAATGTTATTTCTAAAATATTTTTCATAAGCAGCAACTTTTAATGCAGTTGATCTTTCAAAATACGTGCTTATGCTGTTCTTTTAAAACAGTCATGGAACATCAATAAAGATTTGATGTTTTAGCAATCTTAAGTGTTATAAATCACTAACCTTATTGGCACTATCATCGTTTAAAAATTCATGTGGTATAAAGAAAAAGATCTCAAGACTGGACTTCCGTTCCGAAATTTTGATTCTAATTATGTAACTCCTTTTTTCTTTTTTGACACATGTTCGAATTTTGTAACATACCTGACAATGCTCGGCCACTACCCCGTACTCAGTAATCAATTGGACGCCGTAGTGGGAGTAAAACTCTTCAATATTTGGACCATTACCTGTAAGGAGGCAAATGTGAATAATAAGATAAGAGTGAATCATGACATTATGCAACTCTATAACAAATTGCTGCGAGCCATTTCTCTTAAGTGACTGTCAGAATATGATAGCAATAGCGTGTTCTGTCCGGCAGCAACTCCAGCCATTTCGGTTTTCAACTCATCGGTATCATAGATTAGTCCACATTCTATTTTCAACTTGTTTACATATTGAACACAACATTCTAAATAATATATTTTCCTTGCATTTACAGTATCTTTTGCAGAGTTTCCGTCATAAATCATGGTTGAGTCATTTGGCTGGAAAGGCTTCTCTGCCATGGTGTACTTGAGCATAGAAGTAACAACATGTAGTCTCAGTTTCTATCATGAATTATTGATCGGGATGATGGAATGTTGCCGCCTGTAAGGGATAATTTTTATAACATTTCTTATCATTCCTGGTGGTGGTCCAGTTCAGGTACTGGCTGTTATTGGAGCAGAAAGATGCGGGTTCGATCTCAGGTCTATATTGCGCCAGTTTTTGGTCAGAATCGGCGAGGAGGCCGGGCGGTTACACAGAAGAAAAATTATAGCAGTGAATTACGTGTTCGATACCGCTACAAGCTGTGAATATTCTGCAATGATAAGAGTCGGTGACAGGTCCAACGGCCTAATAATTGCTGAGACCGCTATCAATATAATCATTATTATTATTACTCTTATAATATTATTATTAACTATTTAAGAAGTATTTATGTTCATTCAGATCATGAGGTCGAAAAATACTTGCAATGGTAACAGAACACATTGATGGTTAATTGAAATATTGCATTAATTCATAACTAACTAATTATCATAACCTGATTGGAAACATTAATTAATTTTTTTGCAAATTCTGATACGTAGTTAAACTACATATATTGATGTACAATGAGAAAGTGCACGAAAAATTGGGTTCTTGTCACCACTTTACCTGGCTTGACTACCGTGTCGAGAGACCCAGCAAAAATGTAAGCCTTGTCGCCCACCAAATTGGATGTCGAGTCAATGGAGCCTCGTGATTCCATGCTGTCAAGGGAACGAAATATTTCCAATTGCGCGTGTCGCCACTTGAGACCAAATTTTAAATAAGCATGTAGTATAAAGTGCCTATGTTGGAAACCTGGCGCGGCTCAGAAATTCTGCCACCTCGCTCGCCTACGCCTCGTTTATAAATGAACGTAAAAAGACAGAAAAATTAGGTTATAATGATTCTTAGAAATGTCACTGAGCATGCTTAAAAACTGCATAAAAAAGAAAAACAATGGTCTATGAGTGTAAAGTGGTCCATGAGTGTAAATGCGCACTGAAATGCTGATCCGAGAACGCGCAAACAAGATGTTCACCTGGGTACAGATTCCAGTTGCATCAATCACTAATTGAAACGTTTCTTCGATTTTTTTCTTTCGCTATACCAATGGTTGAGCTTGAATAGTAAGCAAGTACATATAAAATAAAAAATCAAGAATATCCGGAAAGATGCGATGGGAGCAAAAATTTAGTTCTTTTAGGATCCTCAAATTGAAAAAAATTGTTGCGATAAATTAAAAAAACACTTCAAGCAATTTACTGTAATAACCTTTAGTTTATGAAGAAAAGCCCCAACTAAGTTACCAAAAATATAAAGTGAAGCAACATTAAAGGTTAACTTTTGCCCGCACATCTAAACGGAATTTCACAAGTCCTCTTTATCTCAGAAAACTCTGGGATCCAAGACTTTCGAGAGGCTTCTCTCTGAGCCTCAAAGTAGAAAATAAATTTCTGGGCTGTTGACTCCTAAACAACGCCGTCTTACCTCCCGACTCCTTACCTCCTCCTTGCCTCCTGGGACGGCCGGTTGTCTCAATAAAACATACAATCTACATGGAACTGAACGCTTTTGTATATGATTGCATAATTCGTCTCTGACTTGTCTGTCTCGGAGATGAGTGTTGCGACCGGCACCAGCGCAGGGGTCTCCATGCACACCAGAGCCTCGGAGAGCAGCCCCTGTGCGCAATGGAATACCACTGCACAAGGACAATAATATCAGTTGACCGTTTCTTTTGTGAAGTAAATAATAAAGAAACTAATTTCATGTCAAAAATAATTTAGAAATTTTTATTTTGGTTTGTAAAGAGAATTTTTTACCTATAACGTTAGTGAAACACGTCCTCATGTAAGTCCTGTAGAGGTTGAATTTAATACGGACTTTGGAAAGACTCTTTATCGTTCATATGATATTGCGAGATGATAGCCTGCCGGTCATGGTCACGGAGCCACGATATTCGTTTGGCAGTCTGCTGCTGCTTGTGATCCCCATGCAGTTTTAATTGAAATTTAGTGAAAACTTAAACAGCAGCAGGATGTGTGTTGTCAGTGTCATACTGACGTCAGAAAAAGTCGTCTCTCCTGGTGTAATTTTACTTATTGAGAACACACATCTGTTTTATCAATATGGAATTTTGTTGCCAGCTGCCAAACTCTGTACCTTAATTAAGTAAACTATTATATTAATTAAATTAAAACATATCGACTCAATCGTAACTTTTGAACGAAAACCTAGCTTAACAAAAATGTGTTTAATTATTGAGCTTGGTAATAGGAGTAGTGACCTCAGCTGTTAAAATTTAAAAATATTCGGGTTTATTGTTATCAATATTTATTTGCTATTGATTCCGCTTGAAATATCGTGTTGAATGCCGCGCGCATTTGCAACGACGTCCATGATTTGCCTGAACTCGTCGAACATAATTAATTTTGCTGTTAATCTTTCATTACTGTATATTTGCTTGATAGGAGCGCCGTAAGCGACGTAATGTCGAAAATGCCTAAAGCATGTTATTATATTTGAAGAAAATAATTACACTAATAGAATAATTAATTATTATTTCTTTAAATGATTCGGTCATTGTTGCTATAATTTCTAATTTATACTAATACCTTTCCACGTTGAAAATTATATTTTTTGCCTCTTTGCCAGCTATGTGTGCGATGAACGACTTATGTTTTTTGATCTGGACAAATTTGGCGAGTGCCCTCTCACGATCTCTTGAAAGGATTGTCGGATCCCTCACCAAATTAACGATGAAAATCTTTTAAACAAAACCTCACTAATTCCTCAATCATTCCTAACTTCGTTATTTTCGTCTCTATGCTTGGGTATCTGATATACGAAAATAATCTCGTGCCTTGGGTGTGAGGCTCGTACCACATCACTTATTAAGAAGGCACTAAATATAAAGAAATGGCTTATTTGGTGCCAGATTTTGGAGCGTACAGTGACTGACACGTTATACGGCTTCACACAATCTATTTTAGTTACCGACCAAGTGCTGTAGGTTTGTATTTAAACGATATTAAAGCCGGATTTCGGAGTGTACAGTGACGGACACGTTATACGGCTTCACCCAATCTATTTAAGTTACCGACGATGTGGTATAGGTTTGTATTAAAACGACTTTAAATGGGATAAGTAACCCGACCTCCTGCAAACAGCGCCACGCCGTGCACGGTGGAAGAGAGCGCCACATGAAGCTGCGTCGCCATCGCTGCTCCTGACGAGACGCCGGACGCCGTCACCGACGACGCGTCCACGTTCAGAGGGCCTGCGAATGCGAGCAGAATTATTACAATAAATATGTTCTTCAATATCTTTTAACTTTACTTTATTTCTATAAATACTCAAAGTGGTGGAATCGTATTATTGAAATGTATAATTCTAGAAATGAAGCCTCTGCAGCGCGATGGAAATATTTGGCCAGTATGGGGATCGAACCCACGACATCCGCGTTATTAGTACGGCGCTCTAGCCAAAAATTTGTATAGACGAGTTATTGCTTCAAAAGTAGTGCAGTAGACAAGCGACTTGATAACTGAAGTCGACATTCTGAGTCTTAATTTGAATATGATGTTCTTCTCTCCTTTAATGTACAATTATTTCACTTTGGAAGGCGATTTTATAACTAAAAATTACAGGTTTGTGGACATTTGAATCTCAATTTTGATTTTCATGAAACCATGAAAATTTTTTTGTTACAATTTTTAGCTTCCCGAAAAAAATCCTGATTTTATACTAAATAATGATTTTTTGCTTTTAAATTTACATATTCATTCACCTATTCATTAATCAAAATTAAGCTAAGTTTATTTTGGATAATCACATAAGTTTATCATCTGCACACTTGTCCCTATAATGGAACTCACCGAGGTGAATCTGAGCGGAAGCGATCGTCACCGCCCCGAGCACCAGAAGTATTGTGAATAAATTATTCATCGTAAAAAATGTTCCACGGGCAATCTAGACCTGAAAATTGGAGATAGGATTGCCATTCCAGATTGAACATGAGTTTTAATTTGCACAACTATTCAGGTGATTCTTGAGAATGTGTATGTTGAGGGCACTCAAATGTTTTTCGTATTCCAGTCATGTGTGGGAGAATAACGATTTGAAGACATTATTTTTATGTTGATCTCTGTCAACATTGTTCAGATCTTACGGTCTTCGTACGTTTAACAGCTGCTCACAGTTTCATCCTTAAAATTAATGTTTATCTTTTTTGTATTCATTACCTGCAGTAAATTTTTTTGTACAAACCGCAACGTTGTTTGTATATATTCCTATTCAACTGGAAGGAAAACTTTTGTGCGAGAAGCACATCAACTGTCATATTCTCGCTAAATATTTATTTCGCATGGGAAAATAAATGAGATGCATATGATTTTTACTCTCTTTTTGTAGACAGCGCACCAAAAGTTTTAGCATAAAAAATTTTTTTTCCAAGCTCTGCAGCCCAGCTACATTTTGTTTAAAACTTGCCTGAATGGAGACTGTATACGTATATATCAGCGCTCATCAGCGACCTAGGGAAATATTGCACGGAAACGCGAGCAGTTCTGATCGTTCATTTTGACCGTACTTTAACGATGCAACTGACGTCGTGTTGTCAATTTGACAAGCCTGTACCAATGGTAACGATGCAATTGACGTCGTGTTGTCAATCTGACAAGCCAGATACGAAGGATAGCGATGCAACTAAAGTCGTGTTGTCAATTTGACAAGCCTGTACCAATGGTAACGATGCAATTGACGTCGTGTTGTCAATTTGACAAGCCAGTACGAAGGATATCGATGCAACTAAAGTCGTGTTGTCAATTTGACAAGCATGTACGAAGGATAGCGATGCAACTAAAGTCGTGTTGTCAATTTGACAAGCATGTACGAAGGATAGCGATGCAACTAAAGTCGTGTTGTCAATTTGACAAGCATGTACGAAGGATAGCGATGCAACTAAAGTCGTGTTGTCAATTTGACAAGCATGTACGAAGGATAGCGATGCAACTAAAGTCGTGTTGTCAATTTGACAAGCCTGTACCAATGGTAACGATGCGATTGACATCGTGTTGTAAATTTGACGAGCCAGTACGAAGGATAGCGATGCAACCAAAGTCGTGTTGTTAATTTGACAAGCCTGTACCAATGGTAACGATGCGATTGACATCGTGTTGTAAATTTGACGAGCCAGTACGAAGGATAGCGATGCAACCAAAGTCGTGTTGTTAATTTGACAAGCCTGTACCAATGGTAACGATGCGATTGACATCGTGTTGTAAATTTGACGAGCCAGTACGAAGGATAGCGATGCAACCAAAGTCGTGTTGTTAATTTGACAAGCCTGTACCAATGGTAACGATGCGATTGACATCGTGTTGTAAATTTGACGAGCCAGTACGAAGGATAGCGATGCAACCAAAGTCGTGTTGTTAATTTGACAAGCCTGTACGAAGGATAGCGATGCAACTTAAGTCGTGTTGTCAATTTGACAAGCCTGTCGATCCGAAGGATAGCGATGCAACTGACGTCGCCTTGTCAATTTGACAAGCCTGTACGAAGGGTACAAATTGATGGACGAATATTGTCATCAGTCTTGGTGCTCGTAGGGTTAACTGAGCGATTACGTGGAGCCTTTACGTGATTTTATTGAGGCTTGGGCATCGATTGAGACTACGCTGTAATTGTTTATTAAGCCACGGTCAATATTATCGAAAGTTAGGAGGCAATCAACTAATTGGCATTACGGTGATTTGATTTGCTGTTGTCATTTGGCTGATATTTTTTTAATTGGCTTCTTCAATCAGTCAAAAGCATCAAAGCTGGGCGGCCTCTGTGACGTCCCGTGCTTCGAAAACTAAGATCAACATAATTTGCATTGCAAATTTTTGAGGTACTTTGTGAATAATTAACATATGAGGTGATGTTAATTATTGTCCAACTCGAAATGGAAATGGAAGTTTATGGGAATTGCTAAATCGTGAAAATTTGATGAAGTAGCTGCTTTTATACAACTGATGGTAAAATAAGCACCCATCGATGGAAAGTTTGGGATTGAAATAGGAACAATTATGAACAAAGATTACATTCCCCGGTAACTTTCATACAAATTACCATTAAATATTTTAAAATATTTAATGAAAACAGCCTAGACCAACAATAGCTCTAAGCTGTTGTTGAATCAGCTTGGATATCATAGTAGAGATGAACTTCACAGCAGCAGCCATGTTATCATCCATCACACTGGAATTGAACTTAAACACGCTGAAATTGCGCTCTGTGCCCGCAACGACGAAGCCTGTTAGTGTGCAGTGGATGAGACTGGCATGAATGAAATGAAAGACGGCATGTTGCACGTCTGCTGTAAGGTTGCTATTGTCGTACCAAGTTACGTGATTCTTCTGCATGCAACCTTGTGAATGGTAGCTACGTGAAAAAATATAACTCAGTACTCACTGCAGTGACAGAGAGCGCATTTTCTCGTCGACGAAAACGTGAAGTCACGAATGGACAGACAGACGGACGGACAGACAGACGGACATAGCGAACACAATAGTGCATTTTTTCCATAAATGAGAAAATTCGCTAAAAACATGATTTTTTTTATTCGGTCACGGATGAATCTTAGTTACTGCGTAAGTTGTTTGGCCTATTCGGCTAAGTGGTAGCACCTATAATGTAATAATCAGTATGCCTGCATGATGCACATTATGTGCTTATTTTTGAGGTGGTTGGTGGAAATGTTGGTGTAGGAAACATGTCTTCAGCGAAAATGTGATGTAACGAAGTGTTGAGTTGGTGCTAATCACGAACTTATTTGTGAGTAACTTGGCGTTAAAAATGTTTCAATATATTCAATAATAATCAATTAACGGAGTACATCAGAAGTGCTGATTAATAATCATGCTGGTTATTGATATTAGGTTATCTAAGTCGTCGCCTTACAATGAAGCTCATTTAATTCTGCAATGTTGCGTTTCTAAATCGAGACAATTAATCTCAAGTACATGAATGCCTCTTTTGGATGCTGTTTTCATTATTTATATGCAAGTAAATTGAACTGTAGCAGTTGCATTAATTGCTGATCATTTAATGGAATAAAAAATGTACAAATTAATTTAAATCATAATGCATATCGTTCAGATTTCAGTTATTCTCCCGCTACTTTTAAACTGTTTAGATGGATCTATGCGTATTCTAGATTTCAAGCTTTAAAATACTGAAGGTTTTCCTCAAGTTACACTGCACTTCCAGTTTCACGTCTCTTCTCGCAACGACAGCTTGTGCCAATGTGCAGATTCTACCGAAGGATCGGCATTTTTATCATGCATTATAATTATAAAAAATGTTTCATATAAAAGACTGCTCTGCGATAATGTTACGTTATTTGATTACGATGACGATGCCTCATGTGCATATGCCGGCATGTGATTCCCGCTGCTGTTTCTCACCATTTATCTGCTTATTGTGAACAATAACACATCTTGGGTTTCAGCAGATGGGTTTCAGCAGATGTACTCTAGAATTAGAATGATAAATAACATTTTATTTTGACAAAATACTTTGGTAAATTTTTAAGAAGTAATTTTTCCTGGATCTTTATTAGGCTATGGTTGTAGAGAAATTAAGGGTGTGTCGACATGATGGTTTCAAATTAATTGCTGGTATAACAGCAGGCTTACTTCTGGTTTCGTGAATTTAATTATGAATTATGACTAATTAACAAACATTTTAATTTTATGCTTGCCTGCGATTCATCGATGTTCACTCCCCGTGATATGTCCTGGCTGGATAAGTAGGATGTATCTTCGAGTATTGCTCATGGTTTAAAATTTTAGTGGACTTTGATTTAATAAAAACACCTTTTGGATAGAGGCGTTCAGATACCAACTTGGAGTTACAGGATAATTTAGCCAGAGTTTTCTCAGTCCAGTATTGGGGAAAATACCGTTCACTATTTTTCGTGGCTCTAAAGAGCCCCACATTTTATCGGCTTTAGAATTTATTTTCTCACTTATATTCTTAACTCAGTTTTATTCATTAACTCCTTTAAATTCGCTGCAGTCATGTATTGTAAATTTATTTTCCAAAATACAATATAATGTAATATTTGCAGCATTTATTATAGGAATTTTTTTATGTATTTTTTTGCGCAAAAATCTAAAAGTTAGTCAGGGTCAATATCATCATCAACTTGATGAACTCAAAGTTCTTGTTCAGATAATAGCGTGTGTAAGAGAACAAATGTCCGATATTCAAATCACGTTCACTTAGTGATAAAGAAGTCTCAGGCTTAACATTCTCACGGATTTGTTCCAATATTTTTCCTGTTTGCGTCAACATGAAAGCTATCACCGTAGAAGTAAATATATGCCACCAAGTGTCCTTATTTAATTTCTCTTCCCTTATTATCATTAGCTGATAAATTCCTGAATTTTGCGGTCTATTGCGAAAAGAATACAAGACCGAGTCAAGTCTGCAAAACTCGAAAATTACACTTTGTACTGATTTACTGCTGAGAACTTGGTTTTTTCCTTCATACTTCAATGAAATACGCTATTATCAATTTCAACATCCATGACATACTTTGCTGTAATCCCCAGTGAAGATTGACTTCCGTTACGTTGGCAGGCACTGCGTTCTGGTGTCTGCTCGACATCGTTCCCATCAAGAACTACATATATACGTTTAATATAAGACTTACGTTATGTTGACTAAGACTTACATTACGTTGGCAGGCACTGCGTTCTGGTGTCTGCTCGACATCGTTCCTATCAAGAACGAGAAGGGCGAAGTCGTTCTCTTCCTGGCGTCCCACAAGGACGTCACCAACACCAGGATTGCTGAAAGCGACTCTAATCAGGACTCAGGTACGCCCCTACATATGTCGTGTTATACTAACGGTCATACCGTGTCTGGCATGGAGCGACTCTAACCAGGACCCATGTACGCTTGTATATGCTGTGTTATAATGACAGTCATACCGTGTCTGGGATGGTTCGGTATGGGTCAAGTTCCCTATTTTAGACGGTTTGATCTTGGGTCGTGTTGAGTCAAGTTTGATCTCCCACCTAATGTGGTCCATTCAGATTTTCTAGATCTCGTAGGATGTGAAGTTTAGTGGCCACATATTATTTTTCATATTTCGTTCGAGGAATGGACTTTAAGGATACTTTAAACTTCACCGCTCGACTTGCACGTTACCCTAAAATTAAGTGAATTAATTAATTTTATATATTTATGAGAATGTTTCTTGAATCTGTGTTACTAATATCACTACTAAAGTAACTTTCTATTCGGTAAAGTGGGAGTGGAATGCAAATTGTCTTAAAACAATTAAAAAAAAATTCATTGTGCAAAGGTCGTCAAATTTGTCTTGGTCGTAAAATTATTTGATATCTCGTCCCATTTCCCTTGATAATTTTTTCACGATCATATATACTTATGCTGTAAAATTCTTTATCACTGTTAACTCAGGCTTTCCACGTTAATGTTGTCTGCTCTATTTCTTAGTCTTATTGATCTGAGGAGACCGGAGCTGGAAGACGTTGTATGTAAGCGTGTTATATGTGCCATGGAGCTCACGATACTACGCAGGAGAGTTCATGAATCTGAAGCGTTTCTTTCTTCATGTCTGATTTTTAATGAGACCTGTTAAACCGTTATGATTAGACAGAAAGTTCTTGGTGCTATGCTACATTTCTTGCAAATTATATTCGGAATTCGTAAATGATTGCTATAATTGTTGTTACTTGAAATTAGTTTAATTTCCTTTGATTTTTCATCTCTGTTAAATAATATTTTCTTAAATGGTCTGTTTTTCTTGATTATGTATCATTCTGTTGATTTTTCACTAGATTCAGATTTCCCCGCTACGTAAATGACGTTACCTTTCCCTTTGAGAGTAGTACATGAATCAGATTATTATTAGTGTTAAGACTGGTTACAATCTTTGAACCATAAAATTGTACTAAAAAATTTACTTTCTCTGTAAGATCGATATTCTTCTCCATATACAGTGGGGGGAAATAAATATTCGTACACTTGAAAAATCGTATTTTAATGTATGTAAGTACACAAACTTAACAGGAAAAGTGATTTAAATTATGTATAGAGACGCATAGTTTTCAAAAATATTATCAAAAGAAATTAAATCTCAATGCAACAAAAAACAATGCAACATGTTCACTTCTTCGGGTGAAAAAAGTATTCGTACAAAACAATAAATCCGCATTATTTTAATTTAATACTTGGTTGAATACCCTTTATTCAGCTCAACAGATACCAGTCTATTTCTATACGTCTCGACCAATAATTTGCAGATGCTGACTGGTATTTTATACCATTCTTCTTGGCATACCACCTTAAGATTCTCAATGTTTGTTGGGGAACTTTTCTTAATTTGAATCTTCAAATACCGCCACAAATTTTCAATCGGATTTAAGTCCGGCATTTAAGTCCTGGAAGGAAGGAGAAAGTTATAGGAAGATTGCTAGCCACTTGAATGTTCCTTTTAGTACAGTTGCTTCGTTCATTGGACGCTTCAAGACCCGTGACAGCGTTGAAAACCAAAGACGATCAGGTGCTCCTAGGAAGATTTCTGCACGATCTGCTAGATTATTGGGACGAAAAATCCAAGAAAATCCACAGATTACTCGAGGAGAGTTGCAAAGTCACCTGAGTGCCTCAGGAATTCAAGTAACCAAACGAACAATAAGCAATGAACTTCACAGAAACGAATTAAAATCACGCACCCCAAGAAAGACCCCACTCCTAATGAAACGACATCGAGATGCCAGGCTGAAATTCGTCAAGGAGCATAAGGACAAAGACTATGCTTTTTGGGAAAAGGTTCTTTGGACGGACGAAACAAAAATTGAGCTTTTCGGTCGAAATTATCGTCACCATGTGTGGAGGAAAGACGGTGAGTTGGTGTAAGTGAGTGAGTGAGTGAGTGAGTTTGGTGTGTAAAGTTTGGTGGTGGCAATATCATGATCTGGGGCTGTTTCTCCGCAAAAGGTGTTGGTAACATATCACTTATAGATGGTAGGATGAATGCTGCAAACTACCAGAGCATCCTGGAAAATAATTTGACGACTTCTGTTGAGAAACTAGAGCTACCTGGTGATTGGATTTTCCTGCAGGATAACGATCCTAAGCATACTGCAAGATCCACAAAGAAATGGTTCGCTGATAGAAATGTACACGTTATGGAATGGCCAAGCCAGTCGCCGGACTTAAATCCGATTGAAAATTTGTGGCGGTATTTGAAGATTCAAATTAAGAAAAGGTCCCAACAAACATTGAGAATCTTAAGGTGGTGTGCCAAGAAGAATGGTATAAAATACCAGTCAGCATCTGCAAATCATTGGTCGAGACGTATAGAAATAGACTGGTATCTGTTGAGCTGAATAAAGGGTATTCAACCAAGTATTAAATTAAAATAATGCGGATTTATTGTTTTGTACGAATACTTTTTTCACCCGAAAAGTGAACATGTTGCATTGTTTTTTGTTGCATTGAAATTTAATTTCTTTTGATAATATTTTTGAATACTATGCGTCTCTATACATAATTTAAATAACTTTTCCTGTTAAGTTTGTGTACTTACATACATTAAAATACGATTTTTCAAGTGTACGAATATTTATTTCCCCCCACTGTATGAACTTGACTATTGAATGGTTCTAGTTTAGCTCGTGCATTGACGGACGTATACAGGAAGAGGCCTTGTTCTCCTACACTGCCTTCAGCGCGTCGCACCTTGCCTCTCACGTGGCCTCTTGTGCCGCATTCCTGGCCTAACTTGCCAATCAAGAGGCGTCTTGTGCAGATTCCGCGGCCTCACTTATCACCTACATGACGTTCTTGCCTCTTGCGTGGCCTTCTTTTCCACTCATTCGGCGCCCTTTCCCGTATGAGGCAACCTTTTACAACAAGATAGGCAGCGTCACTTGACGTCTGTGTTGCAGCGTTGCTGCATCACAAATTGACCATGTACCGTACACCACACACCGGCCATGTACACCACACAGTGACCATGTACACCACTCAGTGATGTACACCACACAGTGACCATGTACACCACACAGTGATGTACACCACAGTGACCATGTATACCACACAGTGATTTACACCACACAGTGACCATGTACACCACACAGTGACCATGTACACCACACAGTGAACATGTACACCACACAGTGACCATGTACACCACACAGTGAACATGTACACCACAGTGATGTACACCACCAACAGTCCAGCAGTCGTCTCCACGAAGCCCGCTGGACTCGCGCGATATCTTGAGTCCCGGTAACCTGGAAATGATCTCACTTCATTTCCAGACCTGAACGTCGGTGACAGGCAGGGCATCCAATTAGCCTGGTGGTTCTCAAGTAAATGAGTTATTTAATAGAAGCTTTCACTCGACAAAGGAGGAGCCTGCTTTCTGTTAGCGGTGAGCTCAGCTGAGTAGACTTCAAGCAATTAATCAAGCCTGATTATCTTCTTTATCGAGCTCTAGAATTTGTGAATTTTCCAATCTGAATTTCACAGAAGTCGTAGGTGTCTTAATCGAAAGCAGAAAATTTCCATTTCATAATTAAAATACAACCGAAATTTTTAATTAATTTGCAGTGTTCTCGAGAGCGTTGTGATTCAATCGGAAATTTATGAAACAGTTTATGTCTATATATCACCGACAACTAGTGGATGATTCCTGATTACTGATAAAGTTTGAGCAGCAATAGCTGTCTCTTAGAAGTGGGTTCGTCACGCTCTCTGGCCTGCTCTTGCTAGATCGAGTTGATGTGTTGAATACATCGCTCGGAAATTCACATTTTATTAACAAATAATTTCATAAATGAAACGCAATTAGATGACAGTGCATGCATTCAAAATGAAGAGAACCGATGTTCTGAATTTGTTCATGAGAATAATCTCGAAACTCATTCTCCGAATAGCCATCGAATTAAATACCAGTTATTTCAGTTTATGGTTATACGGACAGGGCTGTGACCAATGTGAGAAAATCTGTAGATATTGACGTGGCATATAGGGGCCGAGATACAAACGTTCTTGGCTGAAAGTTAATTATAAAAATATATTAAGAACTTTGTGAGCTATTTGGAAATATGATTTTGAACGGGAGATGAAATATTTTCACTCAAAATTTCCTCTGGATTTAGATACAGGATAAACATTATTTATGTTACTGAACTGTATCGGATTGAAAGTGAATTTTTTCGTTTTCTCGGCGGGAGCTACATAGCCGATAGAGTAATATTTCCATCATATAATATATTGCCAAACATGGATTGACAGTTGTAATGTCGAACTTACATTGTGTATTATACCGTCAAACTTTTTATTTGTCTCTGAACACTTCTTAATTCATTAATCTTCTATGTATATTTAGCATTGCAGTATTATCAATTTCGAAACTGGATTTTTCATACGCTTAGTCGTTGCGAACACATGACATATTAATTTGGTTTATAGTGTTCCCGGAAATCTTTTGCTACAAGTTACATTTTGTTATATTTACGAAGCAAATATTTGTATGCATCCTTTTAATTATTGAGCACGCTCTTTTGAATTTTTCCATTGTTGTGTCTGGATACGCTTACCTCGATCAAAGCATCTGGAGCAAGCATATAATTAAATTTTGTAATCTGTCATTTTATGCTATAGAACGCGAAGGGATTTTCTGAGGCATATTGAATACTTTTGTAGCATGCAACAAATCTTCCCGCAGTTTGGCAGTATTTTGTTCCTCATGGTAATTGCTTTTATGTGGTAATCACTTTGATGTTTTTAAAGTCATTAGCATATTCATTGGCGTGTCTGAAGGCCTCATAGGCATACT